ATGAAAATGATCGATGGGTATAGAAGTGGAGGAGTGAAAGATGTGGTGCTATTGCAATTGTGTTAACATCAAGTACATAATATGTAGAAATGTACCATGATTTATAGAACAAGCTCAATGTCGGTCCATCTCATTACGACATGGAATTGAGATTTATATTCAACGAGCATACATCCATTTCAATTCCACTAGTAAAGGTCACTTTTGAAGCTGAAATGAAGGTTCTAATTGAATTGTACCAAAATCGCAAAACTCCTATTTGCGTAACTTTAGCGAAGAAGAATGTTCTCGAGAGTGACACAAAGATTACAATGAAGGGAATCATAATGTGAATGATTTTTAGGATATATGGAGATAACTCGTGAGAATGGTATGGTTATTTTCGAGGCAGATGTTCTTTATCATGATTTCACTATTATGTACAGAATTCCCTCAATAATTCAAGATAATGAAAATGAAAATGAATTTACAAATGAAGATTAATTGATTTATCCCGTCGGAGACATGAGTCAGGTGGGAGCTCAAGGCCAAAACAAATGCACGGTCCTCTAATTGTTCGCGTGTGTTTCTCGATGATAAAGATTTGCATGTTGAGCAATTGTTTGAAACAAAGAAAGATTTGCAGGAAGTTGTGCATCGAATTGTATTGAAACACAACTCTGAGTTTAAAGGAATGAATCAAACAAGTCGACGTACAAAATTATCTGTGTTGACGATAGTTTTGTTGGCGTTTGCAATACAAAGTTGGACACGAATGAGTTCTTTGTAGTTCGCAAGTATGCACGAGAACATACTTGTAAAGTGGTAATCGTCGAAATGATCACAGGCAAGCCCGAGTATGATGTATTGGTCGACAGATAATGTACAAATTTCTGGACCCACGGACAATGTACAGACCTCCAGACATCGTTATCGACATCCGTCGAGAGTATGGGCTAGTCATAAGCTACTGAATACCTGAAAGGTCAAAGAATGTGTGTTAGAGGATTTAATGTGTTTGACCGAGGAAGTTTATGCTAAATTGGTCAAGTATTATTTTAACATGGGGATAACTAATCCTAGATCGACATTTTCTATTGAGACGGAGGGTGAGAATCGCTTCAAGTATTTAATCATGGCGCTTGGACAATGCATTCGGGAATTTCGAAATCGATGCGACCCCTAATTCTAGTCGACGGTACAATCCTTAAAGCTACATACGAAAGAAAGTTGATTATTGCAACATGTCAAGATGCGAACATTCAAATTTATCCTTCTGCATCCAGCATAGTTGATGGCAAGAATGATCTAGCGATGCATTGTTTCTTCATAAATCTAAGGGAAGTAATTGGGGACGTCTAGAACCTTGCATTCGTAACTGATCGAGGACAATCAATAATAAATGATATCACTAAAAAAAATTCGGGGCACATCGTGGTTATTGTATGTACCATATACATGACAATCTGAAGACTAAGGGTGTGTTTAAGCTACATTATTTTGGAAGAATGTATATTGGAATAGTAGATTGATGGAGAATGTGTGGTTGAGAAAGAAAGAAAAGTTATTGATGTGATGAAAAATATTATTTTATTGAAGGATGTGTGATTGAAAATGACTAAAAGAATGAGAATGAAAATTTTAATGTGGCTCAAACAGGGGCTAAGTATTTGGGAAATGTCATCATTGCATTGTTTAGGAGAGTTGTAGAGGCTTACAATTTTGAAAAGTTTGATAAGTTCATGGTCATAATAGAATACAAATTACATAATGTACGAGATTATCTAATGGAGATGGGGAGGGAACATTAGACACGGTCACATTCTCCAAGACATCGATACAACATGATAATGTCGAACAATATAGTGTCGTTCAATGCATTATTTCAAGAAAGATTGGTAGTTACCAATTCTAGCAATAATTGAGCACATTCGTAACAAGTTGCATCAGTGGTTTCATGTTCGACGTCAGGAATCACAAACTCGCACAAGTGTACTAACCTCAGCTCAGGAACATAAATTCTTCAAAACTCTAGAGGGGGCGAGAAATTTATGTGTAGAACTACTGGATCAGTTTCACTTCTCCGTGAGACATGGACGTAATATCGGATACATCGTGAACTTGAATGATAACACATGTACGTATAGAAAGTTTCAATTGGAGAGTTTTTCATGTGTGCATGCAGTCGCAGTGACTATCATAGAAGAATTCCACCACACACCTTATGCATTTATTATATGTCTAATTATTGGAAAGCAACATATGCCGAAACTGTATTTCCTCTGCTAAATGAAGTCCAATGGGAAGTTCCTGACCACATTCTCCACTTGATAATTTGTTGCCAATCGAAGCTGGACCATGTACTCTTAGACGTAGACACATGTGTAGAATACCATCTATCAGAGACCTCATAATTGCGATAACATGTCCAACTGGGTATACTCGCTAATTTTGTACAAGTCAAATCCTACTACATAACAATTCGACGGACATATAATTTGTCTCGTGTTTATAGTAATTTGTTTGTTGCATAATTATTGTCGTTGTTAAATATTCAATTAAATATTCCAATTATTTAAACTTGCAATTGCTTCTAATTTTTACTATTTAATCCCCGATCACCGTTTTATTTTCCCAATCAAGTATTAAAAAGTTGCAATTAGGTTCCCATACTTTATTTTCCGTCATTTCACAATCAAATAATGTTCTGATCGATGTGCAATTGCTTTCAAGTGTTCATATTTAATCCTCAATCATCGTTTTTTCATAATCAACTATTAAAAAGTTCCAATTAAGCTCCCGTACTTTGTTTTCAGTCATTTCACAATCAAATAATGTTCTGATCGATTTTTAAACTTGCAATTACTTGTAGTTGTTCCTATTTAATCCTCGATCACCGTTTTATGTTTCCAATCGACTATTAAAAAGTTAGAATTATGCACCGTACTTTATTTTTCGTCATTTCACAATCGAATAATGTTTTGATCGATTTTTAAACTTGCAATTGCCCCTATTTAATCATTGATCACCATTTTATGTTCCCAATCAACTATTAAAAGGTTACAATTAGGTCATCATGCTTTATTTTTCTGACATTTCACAATTGAATAATGTTCTAATCGATTTTTAAACTTGTAATTACTTGTAATTGTTCCTATTTAATCATCGATCACTATTTTATATTCCCAGTCAACTATTAAAAAGTTGTAATTAGGTCCCCGTACTTTGTTTTCCATTATTTCACAATTGAATAGTGTTCTGATCAATTTTTAAATTTGCAATTGCTTCCAGTTGTTCCTATTCAATCATCGATCACCGTTTTATGTTCCCAAACTACTATTAAAAAGTTACAATTATGTCCTCATACTTTGTTTTCCATCATTTCACAATCAAACCACTCAGAATTACATATACAGTTACATTAAATAAATAATATTTACATTTTTTAAAAAACTAATATAAAATGTACTATGGATTATAATTGTATTCAAACAAATCGTAAGCTAACTTCAACATCTACCTATCTATTCAAGATTGGTTTATTGTATCAATCTTGCGCTTAATACTCAAAAGTTCTATATATTTTATTGCAAATTCCATAACCGCCGCTGCAGGTAAATAATAATATTTTAGTTTGATAACATATAGCTAAAAACTAATTTTTTCAAATAGTATTTGCTCGAACTGACCTTATGTCAGACTGTTATGATTGGAGTCATAAACATATATAGTGAAATCAGCATATAAGATCTCAACTGCAAAGCAGTGTGAGTTCGTGATCACTGGCATGTACATATGCGTACAATCCGTCCATGGCTTTCCACAAGTCGGCTCATATCCACTCGAGCATGTACTTAAGCACCACGTAACCATTTCCCTAGAATAGGAGCGTGCTATGCTTAATGTTAATGACACGTGCAAACTTGATGCTCAGGATGATTCAATTAGGAGTGTCAAAAGATCTCGGGTGTCTCCGAGTCCAATCGCGCAACATTTCCATAACCATATTGATATATTACAACAGAATCGCCAATAAAGAAAAAAAGAGAAAGAGAGTTGTTTAATTTAATCAACAACAAATATGTAAACATAAGAAATAACAACGGGAATACACTTACATCATCGACGAGTCAGCTGACTTTGTTGTTATATTTTCAAACCACTTTTTAACGTTCGAAGTCATCTTTTTCCCTATCTTGTAGCTATCGTTGAAAAAGAAAAAAAGAGAAAAGAGAAATGTTAGAAAAAGCGTAGATAAGTTAGTGTACTTTAATCGTAAAATACTTACTCGGGCTTAAGGTAATTGAACCATTCATTAGACGCTTTCTGCCTAACCAGGTCGATCTCGTGGAAGAGATTGGGGAACATTTCA